ATTTGTCAAAGAACAGTGAATTGCATTCCAAGCAACATTGTTCAAAGCAGAAGGAACTTGCAATGTTGTCTTCATATTTAATTGAACCTTCACCTTTGTATCTCCTTTCAGAAATAATGAACACCTCAGTCACTTTTTTTAGCAATGCAACCTGTAGTTCAGGGAACGTGTCTTGCTCTTCTGGTAAAAACTTGGGCTTTTGGATGAATCCTTAAGAAGGCCATCAAAAGTTATCATAGAATAGTTTGGGTTGGAAGAGACTTAAAGACCATCTTGTTCCAATCCACTGCCATGGGCAGGGACACTTTCACTAGACCAAGTTGCTCAGAGCCCCATCCGTCCTGGCCTTGAACCCTTCCAGGGATAGGGCAACCACAGCTTCTCTGGGAAAGAGAAGCCAGTGTGTGCCAGTGCCTCACCACCCTCACAGGGAAGAATTTCTTTCTAATATCTAATCTAGCCATACTCTCTTTCAGTTTGAAGCCATTCCCCCTTGTTTTGTCGCTAGAGGCCCTTGTAAATAGTCTTTCTTCATCTTTCTTGTAGGCTCCCTTGAGGTGCTGGAAGGCTGCAATTAGGTCACCCCAAAGCCTTCTCTTTCCTAGGCTGAACAATCCCAATTCTCTCAGTCTTTCTTCATAGCAGAGGTGCTCCATCGCACTAATCGTCTTTGTGGCTCCTCTGGACTCACTTTAACAGACTGATGTCCTTCCTATCACATCTGAGTAATCTCACCTTGGGAGGCACTGAGGTTTACCAGCAGAACAGTTATGTTATGTGCCAGCATATTCATTAAAGCTTCTTATGATGGAAAAAAAGCCTAGTATTTAAAGCTGGATGTAAATGGCCACCAGTAGATTTAAGAGATGATGTTTCTCAGGTGAAATGGCTTTTTCAGAGTTGGAGAACACTAAGGAGGGGCTTTGACCTTCTGACGAGATAGTATAAAGGCTCCAGAATCAAAGAATCATAGAAGAAAAAAATGGTTTCATTTGGAAGGGACTTCAAATATTATCCAGTTCCAACTCCCCTGCAATGGATAGGGACACCTTTCACTAGACCGGGTTGCTCAGAGCTCCATCCAACCTGGTCTTCATGGAAAGTTAAAAAACAGGGTGAATCATTATAACATTTGGGGGTTTTTTTCACTAGCCTCCTTGATTTTATACGAAAAGAAAAGGTTTTAATAAGTTCATTGTTAAACTCTTGCATCCTTTGCACTGGCTATTGCTTTCTCTTTAGAGGTGTTAAAGGGTTCAGCCATTCAGATGACTGGAGCTGTAGATACAAGGGAGGATGTCAGACAAAGAATGTGCACCTCAGAAATGGATAAAAAACAGAGATAGGGTCTGAATAATACTTTATCTAAGCAGATTAAGAAGCAGGTGGTATCCCCTTTGATTTCATACAGCAAACTGGAGATCTTTTCTATGAATCTAAGCAAGGTTTCCTGATCTGAAATATGCTTTTAGTCTAGCTGACTACTTTAACTACTTCTTTATTAGAAAAATGGAGCTGTGAATATTTATCTGTTCTCTTATGTGGGAAAACATGAGAGTTGCTTACCCAGGAATATTTATGAAGTTCAGACACTCTATCAGAAGTAGTTCAGGATAAGCACAGATGGTAAATTCGTTACTCAAAACTGATGAATCCCCATTTTATTTTCAGGGATGTCAATAAGGAGCCAACAGTTTCTTGAGGTGATCTTGTTAATTTTGTATTCAGGTTTTACGATTTATCTTCCAGGCTCTAAAGAGCAATTAAATTCACCTATGCTAATCAAAAGACTTAATGAGTATCATAAGTTTTACTGATAATGCTGCTCTTTTCTTCTTTAGGTAGCTTCCTTCACTGGCAGTGCTATAGACTTTAAGCACTTAAATGTCACAAGTTCAGAATGGCTGGGGTCACTAAAATAAGAAGTCCATGGAACTACTGAAGCAAGTCCAGAGGAGGCCACAGAGTTGCAAAGGGGACTAAGAGTACCTCTCCTATGAAGACAGGATGAGAAAGCTGGGGCTGTTGAGCCTGGAGAAGAGAAGGTTGTGTGGAGACCTCAGAGCAACCTTGCAGTCTGTGATGGGGCCTCCAGGGAAGCCAGAGAGGGACTCTTCATCAGGAACTTGAGAATTTTCCCAGCGCGTTTCTGATCTAACTGTGAGGCTCCAAAAGAAGCAGCAGGGCTGGAGTTGGTTTGTGACCTGCATTATGAACGTGGAAAACCATCGATGGCTGGTGAGGAGACGGGTGTGTGATGCTTGTGTGCAGCCCACAGAGAACAACAGCGGAACACCAGCCTCAGACCTCCATCTCAACATGCCCCGGCCATGTGCACTCACAGCCCAGCAACCTCCCGTGTCCAGGGCTCATCCCCAGCACTGTGAGCAGCAGGGTGGGGGGGGACTCTGCTGCTCTGTTCCGCTCTCAGGAGACCCCGCCTGCAGTGCTGCCCCCAGCAGTGGGTCCTCAACATAAGAAGTCCATGGAACTGTTGGAGCAAGTCCAGAGGAGGTCACAAAGTTGCAAAGGGGACTAGAGCAACTCCCCTGTGGAGACAGGCTAAGAAAGTTGGGGCTCTTCCCAAACCTGGAGTGGATGGTGTGGAGACCTCAGAGCAACCTTCCAGTCTGTGAAGGGACCTCCAAGGAAGCCAAAGAGAGACTCTTCATCAGGAACTGTAGTCACAGGACAAAGGGGGATGGGTTCAGACTGAAAGAGGGTAGGGTTAGACTGGATGTTAGGAAAATAGTCTTTATTGGGGGGTGGTGAGGCAGTGGCACAGGTTGTCCAGAGAGGCTGTGGATGCCCCATCCCAGGCAACATTCAAGGCTCAGTTGGACGGGGCCCGGAGCAACCTGGTCTGATGGAAGGCTGGTCAGGTTGGAAGGAGATGATTTTTAGGATCCCTTCCAAGCCCAACCATCCCATGATTCCATCATTCCGTGGTCCCCATCACGCACACTGGAGTGGCCCTGGGCCTCCTGTGACATCACAGCTCCCAGAGCCCGTATTCCAGCTGGAACTGCGAGTGCCCGGCGATGAGCACAGCACAGCCACTCGCCTGCTGCCAGCGCTGCCTTTGGCTGTGCCAGCGCGCCCTCGTCAGCTGCCCCTGCTACGCCCACCAGTCCTGAACTCCACCTGCTGTCTGGAGTTTGGCATCCACTCCTGCAGGATGGGCACCCTTGTCCCAGAGAAGGTACACTGCTATTCCATGGAGCTGGGCCCCCACAGCTGCCCGAGTGAGATGGAGAATTGTGGGGATGGTGTGGGACAGAGACCCCTCTCTGAGGTTGTGCCACCTGATGCAGGCTGAGAGAGACACGGAAGAGGAGATGGAAGTTGACGTGGTAGTGGCTATAGAAGAGATGATGGAGGTCGACTTAGAAGATGTTGTGGAGGAGATGGAGATAGATTTGGAAGAGGATCTGGAGGAGATGGATGTCGATCAGCACGATGAGGAGGAGGAGATGATTTTGGGATGAGGACAGACCCTCCAGCAGCAGGACAGGCATGTTTGCCCTATTCCCTGCCCACAGAGAGAGTGGGTCTCTTGCTGCCAGGCTGGGGCAAGGCTGTGCTGGGTGACCTCCCTCAGGGACACAGTGCCACATCCCTGGATTCTGGTGGCACAGCCACCACTCCTACCCTGCCCTGTGCCTGCTTTGGGCCACATGACCCCTGTCCCACCGCCTGGGGCTCGACTCCCATCCGCAGCCAGGCTCAGTCCTGGCGGCAGAGGCCCCCTCTGCCCAGCGGCTCCCAGGCTGGTGGCACGTGGAACACCCAGCAGGGCCTGACTGGAGTGACTGTTCCCTTGCTTTTCTTCCAGGACTGATGGACATGCCGGAGAGGAAATTGACCCCTGTACATATGTTTTAGTTGTTGTTGTTTCATTTTCCTCCTGTAAATACGTTGGATAGACTTTTTGCTATTAGATAAGTTGAATTGTAAATATGTTTTGTAGGTTGTTGTTTTTAATAAAGATTCTTATAATGTAAATACGTTCTGTAGTTTGTTGGTTTTGCTGCTCTTCTGTAAATAAATACTCTTTGTTTTTCACACCCCAGCTTTTTTTGTATTTGCTTTGGGCCCTTGCAGTGTTTGCAGCATTGTGGTTTCCACCTGCTCCGGGTTCCCGGGGCTGGAGGTGTCTGGGGGTGCTGGCACGGCCCCCCGGGAGTGTCTGGGGGGACCTGTGCACAGAGGGGTCCCACTTGCGGAGGTCCCGCACTGGGCACTCCTGGTGTTCATGGGCTGCTGCAGAGCAGTGTCCCCAAGAGCAAAGCTGTCACCAGCGGAGAGGGGAGTCTGACATGACCGGCCCCTGCAGCAGTGCCACCAAAGCAGGCAGGAAACCTCCTGCTCCCCTTCCTGCTAGAGCCAAGGGGACTCCTGGGGCGAGAGCCGGGATCAGGCCACAGGGATGCAAAACTCCAGTTGATTTCCCGAAGACCATGACAGTCTTGAGAAGTGCTACAGTCAGGATCTGGGGAGAAGCTTTTGGAGTTGGAATGGCTGATGTTTAAGGCTTTGAACCTCCAAGCGCTCTGGGCTTTGCTTCCCATCCTCATGGCACTACCCCATGCCCTTCAAGACACTCAAGCCAAGCAAAACAATCCTTCCACTGCCCGGATCCCTGCTGCTGGCAGTGGGCACTAGGCCATGTCCCCCACTCTTGGTGATGTGTGGAGGGGGCAGCACAGGCTGTGGGGGGGAGGTGGTGGGGTCTTTTCTGTGAGGGTGCTGGTGCCGGGGTGCCAAGGGCCCCATGGGAGCAGGGTGCCTGGAGGTGGGTGCAGGGTGTGGGAGCTGTGGGTGCTGCAGAGAGTCCCAGGGGGATGCCATGCTGGGAGGTGCAGGGCTGTGGCATCCCAGGGCTGTGGGGTGCAGAGGCTGGGCTCCCAGGGGTGCTGATGCCACTCCACAGCAAGGTTGTGGCCCCAGAGGTCCCCGAGCTCAGCCCCTTCCCAGGCAAGTGTCCCCTAAATCCCCCAGTATGGAAGGCACCTGTGGGGAAAAGGAGAAATTGCTTCTTTGGAGACAGCAGCTACGAAGGACACTGGCTGAGGCAACAGCAGATGAGAATATGCTGTGAAGTGTTACATTGCGACCATATCAGAACAGAGACTGTTAACCAAACGAGACTGTTAGAAACTGTTAATGCATGCACTGAATTTATTGTACCCCTGGTTTTACCGAGTTTTACAGCATTTTTCTCCTCACGTTTATCCCCTATTTTCTCATTGGTCAAGATTTGCTGCAATTCAGGTGTTTCCCTTTTTGGTCCCTGTTTAGTGCCATGTTCCCTCCTTCCTGCCCTAATTGGTTATGACCTCTGTCAGTCCCGTGCTCCTCCCTCTTTCTAGATCCTTCCCTACCTAACGTATAAATAGAGTGAACCACCCTTAATAAATGGTGCTAGTTGTTTGAAGCTATCACTGTCCTTGAACCCCCTCAGTGGTCCTGTGGTCTTTTCCTGATTGATTATGACACCCCAGTTCCTCAAACATCCCTGTGCCCGGCATGTACCTCGCTGGGCAGCCCCTGCCCAAAGCAGCCGGGAAGCAGGAACAGCAGCTTTCTTGAAGGAGGCCATTAGATTTTATTTCTGACCTCATTTTATATCCTATGCAGGATGGGTCTTCATCAATCAGAATAGCAGGTAGGTAACCTAGGAACGATCTACTCTGGTTCCTGCAAGTCTGTGGTATTATGCAGTATTACAACTATTTAAAATGATGGTTTTTGTGTGATACTTGTTTTCCACTATATCAGTAAATGACCATAATGACTTAAAATTCACTATGAAATGCTATTTTCTAGGGTAAAACTCTCTAAAACCTTTTGGTAAGATATAATTCATACACATTTTCAGAACAGATGATGAAAACTCATCTGTAACTTTTAATTGTGAGATCTATTATTATAAACCCACAGAATTTTATATATTTATAAAATATATAATTATATATTATAATTATATAACAATAAATATATATTTATATTTATATCATTAAATATATAGTTTATATCATTTAATACATTTAACATATAATCTAGTATGTAATATTTTACCGTTATATGAAAAACTATTTATTAACATTCTAATACTTCATATGGATAACAAGCACAGTTTTCCTCTCCCAGTAGCTTCACATATGCCTAAATTTATTGAAAAGCTAATTTAGGATTGATTTGTTTCACAGCAACATAATTTCCACGTCAGACAATAAGTACATAAATGTGAACCAAAATAATTCACACATTGCTTTGAAATGCAGTAAACATGTCCTCAAAGTGCCCATATCATGTTAAAAGATAAAAATCCAGCCCTGTTGACAGTGGTGGTCACTAGATGACAAAAGCCACAAAGTGGCACACAAACTATCTTGCAAGATTTGCTAAATAGAAAAGGTTTTACATTTGTGGAACAAAATGGGTTATTTGTTGGGGTTTGTACCACTATTGCAATGTCCCTTTGGTATAGATTAAGGAATTTTTAATTCTGGAAGAAAAGATTGTATGCAGTACTTTTACTTTGATGTAATTTCCCATACCTACAGTTACTTTTTTCTTTTTGTTGAGGTAGTGTATTGGTGTTGCAATGCAAGAGTACATCTGCACTGAAAATCTGCAATAACAGTAAATAAGCTTTTTTTGTGAGCAGAAATAACCCCCCTAATTCATTGTTCCTATGGCATCAGCATAACACAAAGAAATGAAAAAATTGCTTTGGACATTGTACCATCATCTATAAGACATCTTTGGAAAAATTAATGTCTTGTCCACAGAGAATAAATAGTATTGCTTCTTTTGTTCTTCCAAGGTCAAGGGAGGGGATTCTACCCCTCTGCTCTGGTGAGACCTCACCTGCAGTGCTTCCTCCAGCTCTGGGGTCCCCAGCATAGGAAGGACATGGACCTGTTGGAGCGAGTCCAGAGGAGGCCATGAGGATGATCAAAGGCATGAAGCACCTCTGCTATGAGGAAAGGCTGAGAGAATTGGGATTGTTCAGCCTGGAAAAGAGAAGGTTCTGAGGTGACCTAAATATGACCTTCCAGCACCTGAAGGGAGCCTACAGGAAAGATGGAGAGAGACTTTTTACGAGGGCCTGTAGTGACAGGACAAGGGGGAATGACTTCAAACTGAAAGAGAGTAGGTTTAGGTTGGATATTAAGAAGACATTTTTCCCTGTGAGGGTAGTGAGGCACTGGCACAGGTTTCCCAGAGAAACTGTGGCTGCCCCATCCCTGGAAGGGTTCAAGTCTGGACTGGCCTAGTAAAAGGTGTCCCTGTGCATGGTAGGTGGTTGGAACGTGATGGACTTTAATGTCCTTTCCGGTCCAAACCATTCTATGATGATGCTATGATCCTGGATGTGAACAGATCTGTCCAGCACAGATGAACAGGAACTAAATATAATTAGGGAAACTCAAAATTTTCTCCACTTTTTAACTATGTTTATCCCCTTCTGCATAATGGGAATGTGTATGAATTCATATGTATATGAATGTATCTTCTTTTCAATGACTACAGATGGTATTTGTTTATACTTCTCATATCTGAAAAGAAAATGAGGTTTCACATTTCCAGGAGGAATGTTACATCAGTGCAAATCAAAATAGACTGAAAATTTCTTCCAGAATCCAGGGAAAATTGGAAAATGTTTTATTTTACGGAATTTCTTGATTTGTGGAGGGCAAAACCTGAACATTATTGACCTTTCTAAAATAAATGTTCCAATCTTAGTTAGCTGAACGACTTCTTTTGAAATCTTTGGTGTTTTCAAGTGACTGACTTCAAAATATCTGTTGCAGTATCTCTTGATAGTGGATGTGTGTGGTTACCCCCAAACCTCTGTTATTTTGAAGTGGTTAATATTTCATCTCAGGAGCTTGAACTAGATACCTTTAACCTCTGAAAAGTTTTTACCAGTATGTTTGTTAAAATACAAACACGAAATATAGCCCCTACTGGAGACAGGGAATATAGGGAATGATGAGAGACTGGGACTGTGTTGTTGTAAGCAGCTGTTGGAGTACAGTTGGGTACAGGAGACAACACTTGATCTTATAAACATTTGCACCACCAAGGAATTTGTTTAATTTGTATGTTAGAGAAAAATCAGTAAGTTTGGTTCTTTACATTTTATTTTATTTGGAGTAAGAGAAAGATTAAATCACTTTAAACCCTGTGCAGAATACTAAAAGGAAATTAACTGTAAAAACTGGTGTATTCACAAAGTAAAGATTGCTGATGATGTATAAATGTGGATTTTTTTCGCAGAACAGTTTGTGACAGTGTGTCAGGAAATCCTTCTACAAGTCAAGTAAGTGCAGGCTTAGCCACTTAGTGTTAAATGTAGAGTAAATCTGTTATTCACAGCCACGATTTAGATAAACATGTGTCGGTTTTCTCTTTCTGGATACTGTAAACAAAACCTTGAGCTTTTACTTTAAAGTAGGTTGAGTGATTTCACGATAACAGAAAACTGAACGGTGCTTGGTTCTCTATATACCAGTTCTGGGGGAAATTGATTCCATCTTAATGACTGCCTCCCTCTTTAGCACCTTGTCTGAACAATCCTAAGAGTGTCCCCAGGAGATGATTTATGAGCCAATTTGGAAGCTGGTACTTCAGAAGCCAGAAGTAGTGAAAGTGCCTCTCGCTGGCCTGAGCTGATCATGGAATACCTTGTAGAAGGGTAATGGAGTACTTCTATGTTCTGCACCATTTCAGGAAGTTTGCAATGCTTTCCTCTCCCTACAGTAGCAGCAACATTCCTGTAAAAAAAACGTCACCAGGCTTGGGGTATTTTCCAAAATTAGACAATCTTTTTTCAAAGAGTATAAATTTTAAAGAGTTTGTGTATAAAATATATATGAAAGTTAACACGTTTGATGAACTATTTCAGGATGATGAAATTTGGCAAATATACAGAATCACATTCCTGTTGTACCACGCTGACTTTCAGGTTATGGTACTGAATGATACTATGCTGTGGGTTATTCCAAGTACAAATGTGAAGCCTGAGTATTGAACACAGAGTTACATTTGGCAGTTTCTTCTTCATTTACATGTTCTACTTGTTTTAAATTTTATACCTGGATGAAAATAAAATCAGAGGTATTGTCTACTTCAGTTGCAAGCTTAACATTTCAGAGATCTTTCATTCTACTTTGTTGCAAGCACCTTGTAGACAAATGGAGAGACTAGGAAAGATAAAGTTATGAAAAGTAAAACTATTTTAGCATTGTGTATATCATGTCAAATGTAGTGGTTGTAAATTTGAAAAAGGTAAGCTGTGTGCTTTTTAAGCTAGTTTAAAAGAGTTTAAAACAAAAGAAAAACCAGTAGTTAGAATAAAGAGTAGAACAGAGAAGACGGGGGTTTTGAATACCTAAGAAATTTTAACAAACAAGTGCGTATGCGAGCCTAGATATTTTTGAACCTCATGTTGTACACATTCATTGGATAGGAAAAAATGCCCTTAATTTCTTATGATATATGGAAAGAATTCCTAGTGTGATATGGGGAGTGGAAAAAAACCTGAAAATTTGTTATGTTCTTTATTAAATAGAAAATTAGCCCTAGCAATTTCATTGTTCTTCAAACTGCCTGCTTAGGAGGTAAGGGAGACACTCTATGCAAGCTTTTCCAAATACCTAGGAGCATCTAGGCTATACCTTTTAACCTAGTTTCTCTGATTCTCTATATAATAATCCCTTCCCCCACCATTTCAGTGCTTCTTCTGAAACCGATTCCCATGTAGTTCAAGACTAAAGTTGAGTCATTCTTTCTATCACTTGACAGAAACTCCATTCAGTATGTTTGCAATCACACCAAAAAGAAAACCTGCCATTATACCAAGACAGTTTCAAGGAACTGGCTCACAATGAGAGGTTAAAGAGTCAAGATGAAATGATAATTGTATTTCACAACGGGGATATTTATGAGTGAATGAAATTTGGTTTATTTTGTGTGCAGAGTCGAACAATGAATTATATTTTCAATCATCAAAAATGCACCCTACCCTTTTCCTCCCCCACCCCTTAATTTTCTCTATTCTGTTACAGCTTAAATTGTTTCCAGCATCCCCATGTAAGAATATTCTGTTGAACAGAGGCAGCAGCTGATTTATGCTTGTGGGGTGAGGAAAATTCCACATCTTGGCTAGGAGGGGTGAACAACTTAAGAAACATTTGGTGTTCATCTCCTAATTATATCAGCGTCAGTTCATTCACTGAATAGGAAATGCATGGGTTTGGATATTGCATGTGGGTACCCTTCTGTTGAATAAAAATACTTACTTTGAAAGCTATCAGCAGGACAAGTGGTAGCCCATGGGGTTTGTCCAAAACCAGCTTAAGATAAGGGACTGAAGAATTTTATCATTAATAGTCATAACCCTTCTTATACCACACCATCTGTATTTCTGATACAGATTTTGACACTTTCAGTGAGGGTGAAAATTTTCTCTGTTTAGTTATCAGCAGACAGTAGAAAGTACTAGAAATGATTAATTATTAGTAATAAACTAATGATTATTTTTGTCCATAGTACTTCCATCTTCCTTAGTTGTCATGTGAATCTGTGGTAAACACAGGGGCTGAAAGAAAGTCTTTAACTACTCTGGCATGAAGTCCTTACACTGTAAAATTTCCAGATGTTCAAAGTAGATAGATATTAAGAAAAAGATATAGATGTTTATTTTTTTCCCCCTCAGAATACTTTCTGTCTCACAGGTAATATGGAGTATCTGCTCAATCTGTATCACAAGCCCTAAACCTCCCTACCCACTAACAACTGTCAGAACTTCTGTGCTAACCTCACCGTCTTCAGAGTTCAAAAGGTTATGAATCAGAAGGCATGAGTAACTGACAGAAACCTCATTCCTGTAATTTCTTAAGTAAAAATACTAAAGAATCCTAAGAAAGAGACTTTAAGGAGGACAAAAAAATACAGATTACACAGTTCCTTGTAGACTCCAGACTAGTCACAATAAATGACTGTTTGTAATAATGGAAGATCTGATTTGATGATCAGAATGCCCATAGTGGGCATATGCATAGATCTATAGCTGCATATGTGTGTATGTGTATACATGTGTCTGTATGTAGTAGAAGTAATTCTACTGGATTTTACCTAAAACCAGGAGTACCTCAACTCACCTTGGTGCTTCTGTGTGTGACTTTTAAAATGTTGTGTACTTCTTGTTGCTCTATTCTGCGTGCTGTGCTATAAATGCAGCTAGCATTTTGGTCTTTTGTTCACATGTGAAACAGGACAACATGGAGAACATGGATTTCTTTTGTATCCCTTGTGGGAATGATATTACTGCATTGTGTCTTACTAGGGAGAGGCAAGCTATTCTTACAATAATCAAAGCAAGGTTCTGCTACATTGTAAACTGCATTCAGGAACAAATTATCCTTTATTATTACTTCTTATATTACTTTCTGTCAATCAATAATACAGTGCTAAAGCACTATTATCTAATGATTACACTGATGCATGGACACATAACGTGTTTAGATTTCACGTTCATGATGGCACAGGTTATTAAAGTGTTTAAATAGTGCACAAGCTACGTGAGTTATGAGCATCTGGAATCTTAGTAGAAAATCAGAGTATTTGATAATAATTTTATAAAGTAAGTGGGTCATGAAGAAGAGAAGAAACAGGTGTTTTTCCAACAAAGCATAACGACCTATTTCTATTTTAAATATGCTTAAGTATTTTCATGCATAATGCTGTAGTACATATCAATGCTATGTGCTAACAAGGAGGATACATCAACTGTAAAGTATCCTGTTAGAGTTGGTTTGAAGAGGCAATCAAAAGCTTATGTAGTCCATATTAAGACTTAACTAACTTTTTTGTGTTGTATTTAATGGATTAAATAATTCTTGAAACAGATATCACAAGAATTTAATATATGTATCCTAAACACGGGTAACAAGATCTGAATCTGTTCAGTTTATTGATAAATACACTGAGGATGATATTCAGAATTTTTGAACAAGCATAAGCCAATTCAAGTTGCAGAAGATTTCAGCCTTGATACCCGTGGTGCTCATATTCTCTTTGCTATCAGTAGTTTCACACTGCTTTATTCTGACTAATTTATTCTGTTACTTCAACCTATACTCACTTATGTCTCAATTACTTTTAATTCCTGATTCTATCCAGACTATCTCACCTGTAAAACCTGTTTGGGTAGCTGAGTTCAGGTTTGTTTCATAGTGTTATACAGTATCTGGCACAGGAATGTGTTTGTTTAGAACAACACTTGTGTGTTCTTGTATCTCATAAAAATGGGAAATTGAGTGTGTGGTGCTCTTTCTGAGCAACAAAAGGTACATGATACATTGCACTGATTTGTGCTTCTGTGTTCAAATTGGGTCAGATTTTTTCTAAAGCTGAGAATAAGGGAGAACTGAAAGGGTAGGTGGATATATTGATTTGTTTATTAGTGCTTGATCCTCTTAATGCTGAAGTCAATGTATTTTTAATTTCAGAGTGAGTAGAATCTCCTTCCTGAGAAATGATGAAAAAGTTATTTTTAGGGTTAAGCCCCAGTCTTTTCACTGTCTCTAATCTTCTCCCATTAATAACATATTTTCACTTTTAGGACATGATCTGTTCCATACTGTATGGAGTACAATGCATAGGCTGAGATATTACATGATGGTAATTTCTGATCTATAATGTGTTCATTGTGACAAGAGTTATTTATGCATCTTAAAAGTATTTAATCAAGGAGCGTTATTTTTCCCAAGACTCTCTGCAAGGCATCCTAATTTAGCGAAAGCAGAGCAATCAAAGAAAACGTGAGAGTTTTTTACGTAAAGATAATACAGGCAAAGAATACAAGCTAAAAAATCATATTGGGAAAACTAGACTACTATATGTTATGCTGTAGCTGTTATGAAAAGAAAGGAACTGCTAGACAGTTCTTTTAATGATGTGCTAAAGATATCTTTATCTGAATCATACATATTGCAGTAAGGAGATTGTCTCTTAATACATGAGACTTGCTACCCGACATTATAATTGTATTACTGGCCAGTCTTTCCACAGCAGCACACTTTTAAACTGGGGCTTGGTCAGAACTCGGGTGTGCAGAGGTAATTGGCACAGCCTGTTTCTGATCTTGAGGCACTTTGTGGTGCAGAGGTCTGTACAAGGTGAGCTCTTCTGGTTTGGTGTGTTCACAAATACTCTCTGCTCACAGAGCTGAGCATCAGCGATTATTTTCATGTGCCTGTGCTACTAGGATTTACTAACCAGGTTGGCTAGTGGTGTGGGGCTTGAACTTGTGAGAGTAGCTTTAGATGGAAAGGAAAAAAAAAAAAACCTAAGACAATTGGGTTTGTTCAGTCTGGAAAAGAGGAGGCTCTGGGGTGGCCTATTTGAGGCCTTCTAGTACGTGGAGGGAGCCTACAGGAAAAAATGAGAGGGACTGTTTACAAGAGCCTGGAGTGACAGGACAAGCAGGAATGGCTTCAGAGTGGGTTTAGATTAGGTATTAGGAAGAAATTCTTTACTGTGAGGGTGGTGAGGCACTGGAACTCATGGCCCAGAGAAACTGTAGCTGCCCCATCCCTGGAAGTGTTTAAGACCAGGTTGGATGGAGCTCTGAGCCACCTGGTCTAGTGGAAGGTGTCCATGCCCACAGCAGAGGGGTTGAAATTAGATGACCTTTGAGGTCCCTTCTAACCCAAGGCATTCTGTGATTCTACAAAATGGGATAAAAGCATCTGTTATTGGTCTATGACTTGTATAACTCAATTAAATGTGTATTGGGGAGGAACATGTTTTGGCCATCAATATAAACATTTTTACAACATTTGGAAGATGAATTAAAAGTAATATCTGACCTGTGAAGCATTCAGAGTTTTTATATTGTAAAACCAGACTGTGGTTCCCATCACCTTGCCTCTGGAGTCTGTCACAATCACTGTGATCTCTCTAGTGAATTGAGTTAATATTTATTACCAATACCAGTTAGGAAATGGACAGTTCCTACTAATGGGTGAGTTAGTACTTGGCACTGCTATTTCAACTGTTAGTACAACAGCATAAATTAGAAGGGTTGATTTTGTAGCAAAGTGGAGTTCTCCCCCTTACTCTGTGTTCTTACTGTAAGAAGCTGTGAGCTGCCATTGCTCAGATGCTTTGGGAAATGTGCCTCACAGTCATAGAATCAAAGAATCATTAGGGTTGGAAGAGAGCTGCAAGATCATTGAGTCCAACCTTTGACCAAACTAAACCAAGTCATAAAGAAAGGAGGAGAAATTGGCTGAAAATCAGTTCACCTCTCATTCATGCTATAGCAAGGTCTGATGAGAGCACAGCCACAGGATGATAGCAAAAGCCTTGAGAGCACAAGTTCAGGACAATATCAGCAGCACCAAGGGTACAAATCTAAACCACAAATGGTAAATTACTGGTCATTAAAAGAATGTAAGTTCAAGATGTGCCAAAGTGTTTCTAGGGAACAGCAAAGAAAAAAACAAATATGTAGAATATCACATTTTTGATGGAAGCACAGAGAAAATAATAAAATATAAAAAGCAGTTACATCCTCTTCAGGCATGGGAAGAAAGAAAGAAGAGAGAATTGTTCCTGCATTGCCACTTAGTTATAGGTAATGCATGTTACCAGTGTTTATGCTAAACAGTATCAGGCCATTCTTCCCCTTTTTTGGGAACACTGCTTTCTGAATTTTTCTTCATCCTATATTCCTTCTGCACACTCAGTAATCACATGTAAAGGATTATCTTCATAAATATGTTTAAATAAATTAGAAGCCCAACAAATACTGCATCTGTGTTCTGTGCTGTGACCTTCACACACAGGATGAGTGATGCCACATCACTGGGAAGCAAACTTGGATGTGATGCTGTCCAAGAGACAGGTTCAGAGCCAGGGAAGGACGATGGTCATTGGTTCAGCTTATCTTGGAATTTGCTTTGCAAACAGAAAGGACAGGGCCGGTTGATTGTCCACTGGTTTTATTGTGGTTGCTGAAACTTTTTGCTTGCTCTGACAAGAAGGCGATAAGTAAATTCACAGAATGGTTGATTTTGGAGGGGAAATCTGGAGCATCTTTAAGCATGGTTACCTAGAGAAGGCTGCTGAGGACATAGCTGGGTTTTGAGTCTCTCCAATGATAAGTCACTATGCTAAAGTTTAGGACTTTTGTCTGTTTATAGCAGGTGCATTGGAATAAGAGCGTAGGATTTCGAACTTCTATTCATATCTCCGAAATCTAAGCCCTAAATTGTAACCTTGGTTGAAATTGACAAATGATAATTTAGCTTCTCCTGTTGAAGCTTAAGTCCTGTAGAACAGATAAATCAAGAAAGAAGACCCATGATGAGCAGGACTTTGGTTTCTGTATCTGTAATTCCACCTGCCTCAGCAGCCTTTGGTAAAAGATAGAACATAATCCTACCAAACCGGAAACAAAATCTATTACCAGTCTGTGACAGTATGCTCTCCTTTATTGTGCTTGCAGTCTAATTTTGTTGATAGTTTCTTCTTGCTGCTTATTGAAGAAACAGTATGGATTGTGTCTTCAGCTTAGCCTTCCCTGGATCTTGCTACTGTGACAGGGCTGCTGAAAGGTCAACATGAGAGATCGTGGTGAAAGGAAAGCATGTGAAGTAGCTTTTCCCTTCTCCAGGCTACTTCATATAAAGGTCAGAGGTGACACTAATGTGTTCTTTGGCTGCCTTCTAAAATAAACCATTCCCTAAAGGTCTGTTTATCCATCTGAATTTTGGACAGACACAGACTTCTGGTTGCAGCTTCACATATGGAGTGGATTAGAAGTACTGGTAAACTACAACATCAGCATGGGGGTTGTGTTTTAGATACCCAAGAAAGCAAAAGGAAACACCAAAGGTAAGAAATGTTCTCGATGTGTTTTCAGTACCTGAATTTCCTTATGCATTGTGTATGTCATTTAAATGCTTTAACATAGTTTACCATTAAAGAAAGGATACCCTTTTCTGTTTAAGGACTTGGACACCTCTGGAAAGTGCTGTCTTTGTCATATATACATGAGCTTATTTCTACTTGCTAATAATTGCAGAAATAGATTGAATATATATTCACATCCTTGTCTATCTTTGGTTTTGAATGTAGTTAGTTATTGCTTTATGAGTTCTCATTAAACTGGGGTATATGACTGGTAGTGATTATTCTTAAACACTTAATTTGGGGATGTTGATTTTTGATATTTATAAATAACTAGACATAAAACCTAGCAAAATTTACATTCTTGCAACTGAGTGGATGTAACAGACTTTGAATTTCTTAATGATAAAAATACTTAGCATCCAACTTATTCCTCATGTATGTGTGCTAATGTCACTCTAGGAGAGACTGTGGGGTTAAGAGCATACACAGTGTATATGAGGGCAGTCCATCTCTAGGATTGCAGCTGTTGGGTGGCTCTTTCCTAGTGTTTTGTTGTCTGACCAGCAATGAGGTGGTATTTCCCTGTTTGTTACAAAGACTGAAAGAGAATCAAGTGAATATTCTGACAGCAAATCAATTTCATAAATGGAGAGGCAAAGAAACTCTAGGCAATGGGGAAAACAGACTATAGGACAAGATGTCCAAGAAGGTTAAAACTAAGAGTATGAAGAGACATGTTTGGCTTTTAACAGATTAACAGGTCAGAATCTTGATTTTTTTTATTTTTTTTAATGTAATAATGTTATAATGACCAATACAATGTACCTGCCTCATTTTAAATTCAGCAAAATTTAATGTAGATGTTCTGGCTTCAGTGTGGGAAATTTCATCTGATACAGTAAAATAGTATCATGCATAATATAATGAAATCCTAAATTTAATATTGTGTATATAATTGGGGAATATATTCAAATTTGGCCAAGGTCTTTAAGGTTAAATACTTGAATCAATTATAAACTCTAGAAATGTGTCTGTGCTTATCATTATATGTGGGAATAACATGAAATCTAGAGATGCACAATTAAGTAATGACCTGTCTTCACAAAATCTGGATATAATTTTCAAATTTAAGTCTCAGTAGTTTTCCTAAAGTTCCTAAAACTAATTCCTAAAGGGAAAAGTAGTTTAACTTTCATTGAAACCAGTGCCTTAGGAACACATGGGTCAGGCTTCAGAAAATACTTCTGATTTGTAAGGTGTGAGCAGTTTCTAAAGCACGTTTCTGATTCCTGCTTTTCAAATTTAAACAAAACTATCCTTAATGTATTTGTCACATTTATGGCAGCCATTAATACATCATCCAGAAATGGAGTTATAATGAGGCATTGCTTTTTCTATATGCCTTGACTAGATACAAGTGATAGTAACATGAGTGGAATTCTAAACCACAGAGGCCCGTAATGCTCGATGAAAGCAAACATTTATTAGGAAAAAAAAAAAGAAAAACAAACTACAAAAAAGCACTCACCTGCATACAACTTGAAGCAAACAGATGAGTTTCAATAAAAATATTTTTGTACTTTTATCATTTTCTTGTTAGAGAAGAACATGAATTTTTATTTGTGTGAATCCAAAAAAACAGAGCCCCCACTTCCATCCAAGAGTTGTTTTTTGTTTTCCCTCTTGGAACAATGCTACCATTGCAATATTGTTATTTTCTTCTATCTTCCTTTAAAAATTATAATACAAATCAAATTTTTCTATTTTTTGAAAACTTCCTGATGTTCTTTCCTGAACTAATCAGCTACAGAAGACTCCCTGTTATTTTGGTTTACTATGTAAAACAGGTGGAAATTCTCTACAGCTCTTTCAAATCTCTGAGCAAGCACACTAGACTTCACAAATTGAAAGGCAGAAATAATAGCTTATCTCTATATGCTTATAGCCTGAGATAGTAACTGAAAATTGCCCTCTTTGGTATTGTGCAAGCAAGTACTTAAAAATGCCAAATTGTACTTGATAAAGGAATAAGGAAGATTTTATTTTTTTTTTTTTTGTGAATGTGTTTATATCTTAATATTCTGTTAACCTGTTCAGTAACTTCCAAGAACTTTATTCCTTGAAGGAATCTACTGAGTTCAGAGTCCCTTTGAACACAAATGGAGGTTGGTATGACTGACTTAAGTAAAAATGACCTCCCAGACCTGGATACACATCATGACTAGGATTCACGAACGAAGATTTAGGAAGGCTCTATCCACGTTTGTTACAAGCACGCTGGTGGCTAATGAGGCCAATATGAGATAGACATGTCTGATTGCAAAAGGCACAGCAGAAAGACTCCTTAGATGGTGTATTCTGCACAACACGGTTCTTTCTGCGTTGCCTTTTTTCCTCGAGAGTGATCCTGCGTGTGTTCTCAAAGGAGACAGCTGTGTTATAGATGGTGTGTCTCCAGGCCTCCCGATTGAAGGCCAGAGTAGACCAGTTATGGTGATCAATAAGGCCAAGGCTGAGATGTTGTTTTAGGGAGTCCTTGTATCTTTTCTTCAGGGCTCCTCTCTTGCAGCAGCCAGTGGCAAGTTCACCATAAAGCAAGATCTTAGGGAGGCGGTGGTCCTTCATCCTTGAGACGTGCCCTGCCCAGCGCAGCTGTGTTCTCATCAACATGGCCTCAATGCTTGTGACTGCTGCTTGTTCTAGAACAGATGTATTGGTCACATAATCTGACCAGTGGATGTTTAGGATTGTACGGAGGCAGCGTTGATGAAAGCATTCTAGGAGACACAGGTGGTGGCGGTAGTTGACCCATGATTTGGAACCATATAAAAGAGTAGACAGCACTATGGCTCTGTAAACACTGATCTTGGTACTTTTCTTCAAGTGTTTATTACGCCATACTCTTTTGGGGAGTTTTCCAAAAGCACTATATGCCTTTACTTTACAAGTAAAACCAGTACCTATTTATCCCCTTCACAAATGGAGGCAGGAATTCTGAATCAACCTATTATTTCAAAAGTTATTTTTGTTAACGGCTTTTATTTCCTCCTAACTTAATAACTCAGCTGTATGAACTTCAGGTGCAGCATATATTCATTTTATTTTTGACTAGCAATGCTTTATCTGACACAGGAAGCACACTAGGAGACAGAGAGTTATAGGTAAAAGAAATCCGTGTTTTTAATAACATCCTAATTTTCCCTTCAGAATCAAAATACAATAATTTGAAATAAGAGGTAATGGTGTCTGTCTCTTAAATGCTTCATATTCTTACCACCACCTCGTAAGTATTATGATAAGTATTATGATATTCTTCAGGAAGAAGTCTTATAGACTCAGAAAAAGGCCATCCCCACGTGCCAAAATGTAAGCTTATTTCAGTTAGACAAGGGAATTCCAGTTTAATCCAAGCTCTAGGATTAAGCTCTATTCTTACCTCAAATGGAAGACTGGCGTGGCTGCACAGAGAGCTTTGGATAGAACTCAAGGATAAAAAAAAAAAAAAATTATGACCTTTGGAAGAAGGGGCAGGCAACTCAGGAGGACTGCAAGGATGTTGTGAGAGTATGCACAGAGAAAATTAGAAGGGCCAAAGCCCAAGGAAAATATAATCTGGCTACTGCCATAAACTACAAAACCAAATGCTTTTATAAATACATTAGGCACAAAAGGAGTGTGTCAGAGACGGGATTCATATCTCACCAGATTGTTTGACTGGTGGGTTTAATAAACCATGTTTCCTTTGTGTGCTGGGTGGGGGGAAGAAGGGCCAGGCTTAGGCCTGGAGCCAAACCAGCTGTGCCCATGCAGAGCACATAGCAGGGAAAGCCATGGGGCTGGGTTGTCAATCAATGAGGCTGCCTGGGGGTCCACCCATAGCACTCCCCCAGAGTCCCTGAGTGGCTGTGGCACCCCTCACTTTGCCTGGGGGGACAGTGAGTGGCAGTGAGCCCAAGGTCCCACCTAGGGGGAGCAGCCAGAGCCTACACACAAAGACATCTGGTCTCCATCTCCCTTTGGCCTCTGTCCTCCTGGCCTGTCAATGTGTGACCTCCAGAGTGGTAAATATATCTCTTTCCTCTCTTTCTGCCTCTGTTCTTTCTTCTCTTAATCTCTCTTCCTTTACTCCTGTGGACAACTTAAACACCTATTTTCTGTATTTCACCTAAGTTATGAGTATCTTGCTTAAGTTGTATGGAGTTTGTGTTTGCTGGGTGTAACAGAGATTCCCTTATTGCTATGTCTTGCTAGTCTCAGTAATCTGTTGTAATGCTTTTGGGAAGTTGCATGTTATTTTTGTAAAACCCTTTTTGCCAAAACACCTGTGTAGTTTTTCTCCAGACATGAACTCGAGGTATCAAAGAATTTGCAAGAGTTCATATGGGTGAAATCTCTTGAAATCTAAAATTAAAATGCACACCAGGTAAGAGTGTGAAGCTTCTGGACCAGAGTGTAACAGAGGGGTAAGGAGAACCTCCATCTCTTATTGGACACAGGGGAAACATAAAGGATGGGGAAAATGTTGAAGTGGTTAAAGATTTCTTTGCCTCAGTCTTTAATAGTAAGACCAGTTGTTCCCTAGGTATGCAAGCCCCTGAGCTGGAAGACAGAAATGTGGAGCAGAATGAAACCCCCATAATCCAAGGGAAAATGGTCAGTGACCTGCTACACCACTTAAGACGCAGTTCTGTGGGGTCAGATGGGATCCACCCAGGGCTACTGAGGGAGCTGGGAATAGTGCTCACTGAGCTGCTTTCAATCACTTACCAGCAGTCCTGACCAACTGGGGAGGTTCCAGGAGTCTGGGGGTTAGTAAATGTGTCACCCATCTACAAGAAGAGCTGGAAGGTAGTTGTGAGGAACTACAGGGCTGTCAGCCTGACCTTGGTGCTGGGGAAGGTCATGGTGCAGGTCATCTTATGTGCCATCATGTGGCACATGCAGGACAACCAGGGGAACAGATCCAATCAGCATGGTCTTAT